ATAGGGACTCTCAAATCACAGCACAGCCAAATGCCCACTCACATTTAGTAAGATAATAACAAGCTTTTCAAAAGACCTCATGCTAAAGGTGTACTTGCATGGGAACTCATTGGGTGCAGCAAGATGGCTTCCGCGCCAGAAGTACGTCAGCACACTCGCGTCCTACACGTTACGTCACCCTATCACGTGACTTTTTCAAGGCAAATGATACGGATGGCATGCGGACATTATATAGGAGAGACGAATGTCAATCAGTAGAACTTGGGCGGACCTATCGTGGCCATTTTCTAGAAGTCCAGTGATCGGGAAAGACCTGTACTACCCTGGTAATCTCGCATGACTAATTCCAGGGAGAGCTTATGAAGAAACTACTTATAAAAACAGCATGCCTAATTAAACAATACCTCAGTATTAAGTACTATTTATATTTTTATTGCTACAACCTATTAAAAGTAAAAAACATATATAAAAAAAAATATACTTATAAAAACTATGGGTATAAACCTCTAAGCAGAAAAAAAGGGAGACTAGATATTAACCCATTACAGGTTAATCTAGAGGTGTATAACCCATTAACCAAATATATACGAATCTACACTACCCCTACTAAAAATATATCTTTATTAACACATATACAAACATGTTTATATATGTTTATATATGTGTTAATAAAGTTATAGGAGTAATTGGAAAGTTTTTGGTGTGTATGCACCTATTTGGACTTGGTTGTTTTAAGTTTTTTTATTTTTCATTTTTTTATTTTTTTTTTGTTTGTTTTTTTTTGCTTTTTGTTTTTTTTTTATGTTTACGGACTATTATATGTTCACTTTTTTTTTTTATGTGTTTGTTCATAAATATACTTTTTGTATGTGTTTTTTGGCACTATTGTATTTAATTGATCGCACATTTAGGGATCCATTTTATGTCCCTATTTACTTTTTGGCTTAATTTAGTCATTATTTGTCACAATCTGCAGGATATTGTTGATCCCTGTTAGGGGTTCACGTTCTCATTTTCACCATCATTTGCATGAATTTATTGATCCCTATTTAGAGATTCACGCTTATTTGTGTTTTATTTTATTTTGTTGTTGATCCTATTTTGGATAGTGGGGGTATTGGTTCCTGTTTTTTTATACCAGGTGTGATCACTTTTTCACTTGAGATCCCACAGAGGATCAATCCACTGATTTATTGGCACATATATATTTTATATCACTTTATACTGAGATCCCCAGAGAGGATCAATCCACTGATTTTTTTTGTCACATATATATATATTTATGTCACTTTGTTTTTGCCATATTGTATTATTTTATTATTAAGGTAGCGCTGCATCATTTTGGTTTTGTTAGTTTTTATTTCCACATGGTATATGGTTAGGTGCTAGCAGCTCCCACTCACCTAATTTATCACGTAATAGTAGCGCAGGAGATCTTCATTATTTTTATAAATCCAGTGTGCCAGCTTATAGTGTCTAATATTGACAGATTAACAATATCTATGAACCTAAATATATGTCATTTTACACTGTTATCTGGAATTATATATTGGCAAGGTAACTGCCCTTACAGCAATTGTGCTGTGCTTCTGGGAGGTGCATTATACATATGATGTAAGTGGGTTTCTAAGGGAAGAAGCCTTTGGCATCTCCCGCTGACCCATTTGCACAGTGTGGCCACACAGTGATGTTTTTAGATGTTCACGTGGGAAAGACAATGTTGTCCTGACGTAGTGGTGATGGATGTGGTATTAACATGTAATGTGTTGACCATTTAATGATATAATTTTAGAATAAATTAATAAACTTGGCATTTTTATAACATTTCTGGAGTATGCCACGTAATTTCAAAAAGTAACCCCTTTTTGATGGCTTGGACCTTTGGCAGCCTAATTCCTTATAAAATAGTTTTTGGTTAAGTGAGATTGCACACCTAGTGTTAGTTTGGCCACCAGATGTTTAATGTTCCTTATCTGTATTTAATTAATACCTTACAATGAATGTAAATCTGTAGAAAACCAGCAGTCAGGCAAGGTAAACAAACTCCCAGAACACACACACACATATATAATTTCAAGATTTTTCCTTTCCATGTTGTTCTGAAGAAAAAAAGAATCAATTTGTCCTGAATAGAGTAAAAATTCCTGAACAACGGAGCCCTGTCTGTGGTACTGAAAAGTAAACATGTCCGTTTGATCAGCAGGCCATAAGCTACATTTATTTGCAATTGCTTTCCATGATCAATACACACAGGAAGTGTAGTAAATAGGCTTTAGATGCAAGTTAAACTGCATAATGTAATGGATTCCCATTAAGTATAGGTTCCAAGAATTTATAGCGCAGAATAAGTAGACAGTTCCACATGCAGCATGAAAAGGAAAAGTCGACTTACTGTAATGATAGAATTATAAATGCTGATGCAGCTTGTATTAATTCAATCATCAATGCTTATATTTAAAATTTTCAACAATGCTACTTAGAAGCTAAAAAAAAAAATCCCCTCGGATAAGGTTGTATGATACTGTTTTTCACATGAAGTTGCTTTTTTTAAATCTGTTTATAGCAACACAAATTGTATTTTATATGGTGGTTTATAGGTTAATTGTACAAATGTGTACTCACTGGTAAAGCCTAAATCTGGGCTTTAAAAGAAATTGTGAAAGATGACCCACCCCTGCCCCAGCAGATTAAGAATCTAATGTTTCTTTTTTTTTTCTAATGGATAATCTATAAGAGTATTGCTTACCCTAATCCTAGCTCCCCACAAATAGTCTTGTAACTGCCCCTCTCACCAATGTCATCAAGTCCAATGGTGGTGCTGCAGTGTGCATGAGATTCGGATTCGTCCCAGTGCAGAGTTTGACACAAACTTGGGATATTCAGCATTCATGGAGCAGCCAAACAATTTGTCTGGTTCACCAGCCTGATCATCTTTCTGCAGAAGCAGCAGGGAGTCATTGATTTATTGGTGGTTTAATGCTGGCATCTTAGTAACCACTATTCTGATGCTTGCCAGCTTTTAACCACTTGCCCTCCTGAGGATTTACCCCCCCTTCCTGACCAGGCCATATCTTGAGTTACAGCACTGCGTTACTTTAACTGACAATTGTGCTGTCATGCAATGGTGCACCCAGTGTAATTAAGTCCTTTTTTCCCACAAACAGAGCTTTCTATTGGTGGTTTTTGATTGTCTGTGTGGTTATTTTTTTTTGCACTATAAATAGAGGCCAACGATTTTGAGAAAAAAAACTATATTTTTTTACTTTTTGCTATTAAACATATCCAGTAAAAAATGTTAAAAATCAAATTTCATCATAAATGTATGCCAAAATGTATTCTGCGACATGTCTTTGCTAAAAAAAAATTCCAATATGTGTAAATTAATTGGTTTACGTGAAAGTTATAGCGTTTACAAATGGCGGTTTATATACTGGTATTTTTTATTTTTATTCGTAATGGAGGCGATCAGTGACTTATAGCGGGACTAAGACAGACATTGTGACACTCGGGGGAACTGACTTGGTGTCACTGACATCCCCAGTGACACCAATTAAAGTGATCAGTGCTAAAAAAAAAAGCACTGACGCTGTACTAATGGCACTGGGCAGGAAGGGGTTAACATGAGGGGCGATCAAAAGGTTAACTGTGTGCTGGGAGTGTTTTACTAGGGGGCGGTGTCAGTGTGCTTCACTGTAATCACACTGCTTTGGATGGCTGTGCTGTGCACAGCCATCCAAAGCAGTGTGCCCGAGCTGACAGGGAGGAAAACTGTTAGTAAACAAAACAGTTCTCCTCCACGTCGTAGGTCCTCAGAAATCACTGGTTGCTGGTGAGTAATCATAAGCTGGGACCTGGTGATTGAAAGCCGTGGCCACGAATGGTGGCGCGGCTAAGGCGGAAATGCAAAATGACGCATATATATGTGATTTTGCACACCCGTGGCGCTCTGCTGCAGTATTTCTGCTATAGGGCTGTCATGAAGCGGTTAAACAAGATGCCAATGGGCACCCCAGGAGACATGATTAAGAAAATAGTCCATGCCCATATTTGGATAATATTGTCAGACAGCTTCTCCCTTTGTTAACATTCAGGCAGGAGCTGTCTTTGCATCTTTTCATGAAAAAAAAATGATGTAGGGTTCCTCCCAAAGTCAAAGAGGCCCTTATCCTAGATGGTGGCCTGGAAAAAAAGCTTCCTGGGGTTCCCACAAAATCCATACAAGACCTTTTTCCAAGCATACATCCTGGACAGTAAGTATGCACCCCATTCTCCTGAGCCATACCACATGCCACCATACAAGGAGGATACTCCCCCACCCCGCAAAGCATATTGTCCCTATCTTGATGAGGACAAGGGTCTTTTCTGCACAACACTGGCCTAGTGCTTGTGGGGGTTGCAGGTGGAGGACTTTTAAATAGATGCAGTCTTATATATATCTATTCCGATGTTAAAACTGTAACATTAACTTTTCAGGGAGTTGGGCTTTAACCACAAGCCTACAGGGCACTTAAACCCCCCTTCCTGCCCAGGCCAATTTTCAGCTTTCAGCGCTGTCGCACTTTGAATAACAATTGCGCGGTCATGCAACACTGACCCATATGAATATTTTATCATTTTTTTGTGACAGATAGATCTTTATTTTGGTGGTATTTAATCAACTTTTTTTTAAAAAAAAAAACATTTTTTCTTAGTTTTTGTTATAACATTTTGTAAATAAGTGATTTTTCTCATTCACTGATGTGCGCTACTGAGGCTGCAGTGATGGACACAGATAGGCTGCACTGATGGGCACTGATGAGGAGGCACTGGTAGGTGGCATGAATGGGCATTGACAGGCATCACTGATGGGGACTGAAAGGTAGCACTGATACATGGCACTGATAGGCGGCACTGACTGGCACTGATAGGCAGCACTGGCCGGCACTGACTGGCACTGTTAGGCAGCACTGACTGGCACTGATAGGCGGCACTGTCAGGCACTGATAGATGACACTGATGCGCACTGATAGGCAGCACTGATAGGTGGCACTGACTGGCAATGATAGGTGGCACTGATTGGCAGCAATTATAGGTGGCACTGATTGGCATTAATTGGCACTGACTGGCACTGATGGGTCACACTGAAAGGCAGCTCAGATGGGCACTGATATGTGCCATTGATGTGCACTGGTAGGCACTGATATGTGGCATTGATGTGGCACTGATGGGCACTGGCAAGAGGCACTGATGAGCACTGACACAAGGCACTGATGGACACTGACAAGTGGCACTTCTGGGGCTACACTGATCATCAGGGCACACTGATCATCGGTGCTCTGATGATCAGTGTACATGTCCCCTCCGCGGAAAGCCGTTTACTGGCTCTCCTCTCGAGCTGTCAGCGTGACAGCTCGAGAGGAGAGAAATGCCTATAACTGGCATTCCCCTGTTTACATGTGATCAGCTGTGATTGGACACAGCTGATCACATGACTGAGCAGACATCTTTGGCTCTATCCGTGATCGGTGATCCGCTGTGTCCGAGGGACACAGCGCACCGCCGATCGCTGCACATGCGAGAGAACAAGAGAACCACCTTGCGTCCGTCATATTACTATATGGCAGGCGGGAGGTGGTTAAATAAGTATGATAATTTAAAACACAAATAGATTATCGCATGAGAAAGTAATATTTGAAATGTTTTATATACATTTATCAAATCTACTTTTCCACTTTTACTATGCTGTTGTTTATCATAAACCATTACCTGCTGACCTTAATTATCTACAGGTTTCTGAGCATATTATAAATATTTACAAGTATAATCAATTTGCACCAAAGGAAAAAAACATTTTACAAAATGAGCAAACCAGTTTAAGTGACAAAGTAAAGGGTTATGTTAGTTGCTGCAAATTTATTAAGTAAAACTAATTCCTATGTTGAGCTAAAAAAAAATTCAACATCATGTCAGCATACTTTCCAAGGTGATTCACTGCTATCCATTGAAAAGGCTATTCATATATAAACAAAATAAATGTCAAAGCAGAATAGTGTCTACATCCTACCACAGTAAATTGCTATTAAAAACCCTTATTTGTTATTATACATATGTTTTAAAAAAAGGAAAGTAACATATACAGAATCCTCCACTGGATCTAACAGGTATGATATGCATCATCAATATCCTCAATAGTATAAGCTACCCTTTCCCAACCATTACTACAGTTTACAGGTAATGACTGAATGTAAGTAAGATAGTCCACATATGGTTTGTGGTAAGTTCTTGTCATGTTTCACAGACCTTTACCCGTTTTATAGATTTTTTTTGTTACTGGATCTGCTTTATCAGAAGACAAGCTAGAAGGGTATCTGAAAATAACATCAAGAGCATATGAAGCAAACGTATATACAATATCCTTTAGAATATACATCAAAGGATATACAGAACAAACTTCCCTGTGTTGTAATCCAAGTATCCCACTGAAACTTATATATAGTGACATACATTAAGCCACAGTGTGTATCATAGAGGAGACTGTAGGGGATATAAAAATGCATATGAGGTTTCATCCCAAAGGTTATTGGTCCTACAATATTCATATTAAACCTCATCTCCTATATCCTAGTTAGCAGCTTAATGCACATAATGGACTGTGATTATCAGGTACCTATTTAAATTCTAGTAACTGGATCCACACTATTAGAAATTAGTCCAGGAATTAGTCCAGCACAAGGAAAAGGAGCTCTTGCTCGATTTATCTAAAAATAGACAGCGAACACATACCTCTGTAACAGGCCTCCAACTATAATAAGAAAGTCTATAGCCTTCCAAACTTAGTATAATATTTACCCAAAGAGTGAAAGGTTGAAGAACAAGTTTGTATACACCTCTTCTAAGGGGGAATGAATTGTAGGTATCAAGGTATGCATTCAGTTATAAGTGCCAGAACAAAAGTCCAGCAAACAAGATCTTCCTACCAATAAGTGACAAGGCCCTCAAAGACTGGGAAATAAAAAGGAGTCTATTTAAAAACAAAACACACTTTGTAAAATAAAGAGTGTAAGGTTCAAGAGTTTACATCACAGAGAATACAGGGCTCAAGGGTGCATATCACAGAAAGTGCAGAGCTCAGGGGTGTGTAATGCGAGAGTGCAGGGTACAGGAGTGTGTACACAGACAGTGGAGGGGTAGGGAGTGCATATCACAGACTGTGCAGGGGTCAGATGTGCATAACACAGCAAATGAAGGGTACAGATTACAACCAAATGTATCACCTTTTCCCATTATAAATCCCCCCCCCCAAGCCCATGTACCTAGCAGTACAGATCTCTCCTAGCAGCCACTGCCTTAAACCCCCCTCAGTTCAGCCCACTCTCTCAATACAGACCACTCAGCATAGACCCCTCCTCAGTAGACCTCCTTCCCTCTGTACAGAACCCCAACTCAGGCCACCCACTTAGTTCAGACGCCCACCCCCCCTTCCTCTTCAACATACACCATTCTATCTCAGTACAGAAGCCCTCCAAGCCCACCCCCTCAGTACAGATCCATCCTTAAGTACAGATCCCCCCTCTGTATAGACCCCTCCTTTCAGTAAAGAACCCCCTCAGTATTGGCTTTTCTCCCTCAATACAGATCCCCTCCCATTCAGTATCCCTTTCCAAAAGTACAGCCCTCACCCCAAAAAAAAATAACATAGACTCCCTCCATCAGTAATGACCCTTCACCACCCCCAGTAGAAACCCCATATCTGTACAAACTCTTCCACCCTTTTACCAGATGCAGAGCCAAGGAGGGAGTCTTAATTTGCTCTGAGCTGACACTGTTAGGTGGACAGAAGTGAAGCTGCAGTGCAAATACGATGCAATACACAGAAAACAAATTGTCAGGTAGTTGCTAAGTAATCGGTGGCCTCCTGACTTCTTTTGTTGGTTGGTCTGCAGCAAACACTAAGTGTCAGCCTTTGGGGTGAAATACACCTTCCCCTGCACTCCCTGGTGTGTCACTGGCTGCAGCCTTGTCTATGTCCAGCCAAGCACTCCAGGGAGTTATATTGGAATATATAGCATTTCTGTAAGGAATACCAGATGCAGGAATCCATTGATAGCAGAGATGACCAGATCAGTGAACTACACTTCAAGGAAGCAGAAATGAGACCAAGTATAATTAAGTAAAGTGTATTATTGGGAACAATACCCATCCAACAGGAACAGGCCATAAAACAAGTCAAAAGTGAAAAATAAACGTGACAATGAAGCAAACCAACAACCTAATTAACAAATGCTATATACAAATAGAGGGAAGCTCACATGAACAGGGAAAGATTGGGACTGGGAAAAAACTGGTATCCTAATGCACCTGTAGTTGCAGAGATTATCCCTAGGTCAGGACAAATTTCAAATGAAACTCTGCCCTTGTGCCAAATACCTCTACTATTGAGGTTATAATAGTGTGGGTGTTTGGACCACTGAGCTTTGGCACAACAGAAGCAAATGCTAACGGAACTCAGGAAAGGTGGCAGTAGGAATCTTGGACAAAACGGGTAACCCATACCAGATTGGGCAGCAGACACTGAACCATCAGAGACAGACTGGGTAACAGGCACTGTACCATCAGAGGAAGGCTGGGTAGCAGGCACCAGACCATCAGAGGCAGACTGGGAAGCAAGTATTGAATCATCAGAGGCAGGATGAGCATTGGGCACCAGACCATCAGAGGCAGTCTGGGCAGCAGCCCATCAGATGCAGGCAAAGTAGCAGGCACTGGATCCTAAAAGCATGCTGGGCAGCAGGTACCAGACCATCAGAGGCAGACTGGGAGCAGGCACTGGACCATCAGAGGCAGGCTGGGTAGTAGGCATTAGACCAAAAGAGGCAGGCTGAGCAGCAAGCACAGGGCCAACAAAGGCACACTGGGCAGAGGACAGATGATCAGCAAAATCAGTATGGACAATAGGTGAAGTATCAGCAGAATCAGGCTAGGAGGTTGGAACATGGGCTTGGTGTATAGTGGCTTTGAGCAAGGATCGAGAACCCCACTTGGCTGAGTGAGTCAGTGTGTCCCCAAAGATGGATAGAACATCTTAGGCTGGAGCAGATATTGTTGTGGTAGAATAATAAGGCTGTGTTACTGGGAGTCCTAAATATGAAAAGACAGTAGTCAGAACTGTGTGCAAGTCTGGAGTAAACTGATCCGTAACAGATGAAGTAGCAGACTGGACTAGCACAGCTGGCATGGACTTGGCAGCCACATTTGAAATTAACTGGACTAAAAAGACTGGCATGGAGGCAGACTGGACCAGATCAGCAAGCACAGATGCAGTCTGGACTGGATCAGCAGGCTTGGAGGCAGACTGGACCAGATTAGCAGGCATGGAGGCAGACTAGACTGGATCAGAAGGCATGGGGGCAGACTGGACAGGAGCAGCAGGTACTGAAACAGGCTAGACTGGAATGCCAGATAACAGATCAAGCTGGACTGGAGTAACAAGCACAAGCCAGGAACTGGAACAGAATCTAGATGAACAATGGTAAAATTGTATGGATTGGAAAAAAAATTGTTTGTATTTAGGTTTGAACATTAGACCCCTTAGAGGGTCTGCTATGTAGACCTTTTGGGTCTGTGTGCTTTTTTTTTTTTTAAAGCCAGGAGAGAGATCATTTGCCACCAATTTAAAATTTTCTTTTTCTTAAATGTCAGTGGCTCCTGGTCGCAGAATTTTTTTTTTTTCACATTGGTACAAGCTCCCCAGTGCAGTGCCCAACCCTTCATTTTATTTTTGACACACCTTTGCCCTTTTAGCCCAGAAAATGGGCATTCTTAATTTGACAGTGTAGTGCTTACCCCAGAAAGAGCCACTTGATGTTGGGTCCCCTTTTCCTGTGCCCATGACTCTATGAACATACCCACACACTCTGACACATCTGTCTGGACAGGGAATGCTTATTGCAGGTAAGTGTATATACACCCCCAAGGTTCAAGGTGCAGAGACACCAGGAATGACACAGTAACTGATTGAAGTGATTGTAAACCTTCTTAAAACAAAAAAAAAATAATAAACATATTTTGGTTTTGCACAGAGCAGCCTCAATCCTCCTCTTCTGGAGCTCCTGGTTCAGCGAATGTGCCCCCATAGGAAGCCACTAATACTCAGACCAGCCTGTCTGGCACCAACAACCATGCCGTGTTCAAAGTCACTTAAATTACCTTTCTTCCCCATTCTGATGCTTGACTTGAATTTCAGCAAAGTCATCTAGATGCCTAAATGCATTGAGTTGCTGCCATGTGATTGGCTGATTTGCAATTTGTGTTATCAAGCAATTGAACAGGACTACACTGTAATGGTTAATCAGTAAGAAACAAATTGAAATGGTTAGACTGTAAGAGTAATATGCTGCTGAAACAATCATTGTTGTAAAACACTACCCCTCCTGTACTGGGCAACTATATGTAACTAATGCAGACACTTCCACTTTTTCTGGCAGACAACTCTGTCCCTCTTTTGTCAATGTGTAGTGCAGGGTTGGCCAGCAGCCTCCAGCACTCTTTGTCAGCAGAGGATCTCCTTCTGCTA